TGTTGGGCTCGGTGCGAGGCGAGCATTATCGTCATGAAAATCCTGATTATCCTTCACAATTGAGCCGTTTACGGCGGAATATGTGCACGCAAACGTCTTAAAAACAGTCAAATTAATAGTCTTTATTGACTGTTTGTCCTTCAGGGACGAATTCATGATGCACCACACCACGAATATCGAAGAAAACAATCAGCATTGCCTTGATTTTCGAGCGACTTTGGCGTGGTTTTTTCGGTTTCGGCTCGTCTTTTCCTCTCCATTCCGATGATTGTTGGCTTGTTTGCATGTCGTACTCGTAGACCCATGTCTCGTCACCCGTTATGATGCGTTCCATGAAAGTTGGATCGGAATTGGCACGATCAAGCATGTCTAACGAGACCTGTCCACGATGGTGTTTTTGGAACAAATTGAGGTGAATCGGAAAAAGCCGAGCGTTGACACGTCGCATACACAAATTGTCCACCAAAATCAAACGAGCCATCTCACGACCGATGCCTAGCTCTCGTGCTATCTCTCTAACACTCACATGAGGATTTTTGAACACGATTTCCTTTGCCTTTTCAATGTTTTCGTCGGTGGTAGAGGTCGAAGGTCGTCCAGAACGCGGCATGTCTTCGACGGTCGTACGACAGTCCTGAAAGGCTTTGTACCACTCATAAACTTGAGTTTTCGATAAAACTGATTCCCCATAAGCCTTTTGTAGCATTCGCAACGATTCTGCACACGAAAATTCGTTCGAAACACAAAATTTGATGCAAACTCTTTGATCAATATTTTTTTCCATTGTTTTTTTCGCAACGCACTACTGAGGTGAACTGGTTTCAACAGCCGCCGTAAACGAACTGTCTGACAGATCGCGCTCATTTTTGGCATAGTAATTAAGGACAGTGCTGCCAAACTACATAAACTTAAAATATCGAAAAATATACAGCGCGCGAATTTTAAATGAGAACCTCCGAAAACCTTTCGTCACAATGTATGTACTGACACAACTAATGTTAGATTATTTCTATAGCAATTGCATATACTATTTGATCACTAAACTTTAAACTGCAAAAATTCTCTTTATGATATTGTGTCCTTTCATTTGCCTCTATATACATTTGATATATAATCTCTTTATCTATATACACCCACATGACAACGTTTGCATCTAAATACAGTTTAATAATATGTCTGTATTTGTAAGGTCTTATGGATATAATTTAAAATATTTTCAAACTAATTTTTTTCATTATTAATTTCAAACTAATATATTTTTTTATTTATAGTATTACGTTAACCTTTTTTTTATTTACAGGAAGTTAATGAAGCTGTTATGAAAGAATATCTACAACGGGTATATTCATCAATATTATCACATCCGAAACTAGAAGATCTTGGCACTGGAATTCCCGAACTTTTAGTACAGCAAGCACAATCTGTTGTAATTATGTACAAAGCAGTCGATAAAGTGCAGAAGGATATTAAACGTTCACGTGAAGATCATCAGAAATGCTTAGCTAATGATCATTCTGTACTTTCACGAGTTGCTCCTTGGTTGCGCTCAAAATTGCGTGCTGCTGAGGAGAGTAAATTGAACAAATCAGCTTGGTCGGCACACGAAGAATCTCTAAAAATGTGCACAAAACACAACCTACATCAAACTGCCTATTTTCTTAGTCGTGATTTAGCTTTTATGAAAGAACGTGAACCTGTACTATTAAAGGAACTACAAAATGCCAAAGCACCAACACGAAGTTTTCAATGGGCATGTCGTATATGGTCACCTAATTCGTGGATAATACGACGTAATTTTCAAGGGCAATCCGATGTAATACCTACGGTAATCAGTCAACAGGCTACGTCAATTGTAACACCACGTTCAGATCCCAGTCAACCGGTATTTTTAGTCGAAAAAGAAATTATACGCACCACAAGCACACGTTGGCCATTTTGGCGTTTGTTGAATCTGATGCAGCGAACTTGGTGTTGGACATGGAATATGATGTTTTTGCTCGGCATACTTGTGCCCTGGTGTAGCCCTTTGGGTTTACGTGCACTCTTTTGTATAAAGCCATTTATGCCTGATTTGGAATTATCACAAATTAACGGCACATTATTTCCTAGAAAAACTAGCATAACGCAGACAATGGCCTCACGTCTAATAGAACTATGGCGGCACATATCGAAGTCACGTACACATTTCGAAACGGAACCGGATACTGGTTAGTCCCTAATTAACAAAAAACTGAATTTATAATTAAATTATTTAATAATTATAAATTTAATTGCAGGCTTTATTGGCAAAGGTTTAACGCGCAATTTAAATCGTGCTTGGAACTATTTTGTAAAGGGTTTTCTTGGCACGATAATTATTCTTTTTGCATTTCCACTTATATGTTTGGCAACCAGTTCACTGAGTATTTCATTGGCTTTGACGGCACCGCTTTGGATACCTATATTTACTCTTCTATTGCATATATATATGATTTTGGTTTATGACCTAGATTGTCCGGATAATTCGCGAAATCGATATTGTATACTCTTAGAGGCTGTTATATGGAACATGATAATACAAGGTCTACTACAACCAATAGCCGCAGTATTAGTTGCTACCATATTCTGGTCATTAGCTTCAGGTCTAATTTTAATTGGTTTGTATTTCAAAATCAATTAATAATTTATTTTTATTAAAAATTAAAAAATTATCTTGTAGTTGGAGTTGCGCGTTATTCCTTACGATTGCTTTGGGACTCTCTAACTTTTCATTTATTTATCAAAAAATGTGGTCGTATACCAGCTTCGGATAGTATTGCTGTCAAACGCATAGCGGGTCCAGGGTTAGCACTTGATTATTATTTTATTATTAGACCAGAACAAGCCTTAGCTGCCTTTGAGGCAAAAATGGAATTGGATGAGTTACAAGCTTATCAGCATGCCATGGAACGTATTATACTACAACCTCAAAAGGATTTTAGTCAATTTGTAGAGGCTTGCTTTGGTCCATTTTCAGCACAGTTATCTAAAGCTGGACCCTATATGGCATTGGATCGTGAAGCGCATGATTTAATGAGTACACTACATGAAAAATTAGAGAAACGTAGGCGCGAACTGCAGACTTCTCTGACGACACAAGTAAAAACACGCATTAAACTAAACACCAAGGAGTTAAAAGTAAATACAATATTTTTGCAACATCTTTCATATAAATTCTTATTCTTATGATTAAAAAATTACTTTCAAGATTGCAATACAACTAGCCGCCCATATATTAGAAAAATGTTATCCGTCACACGTGATTGCTAGATTATCTATTAATGAAGAAGATTTTTGGGATAATAAGGTTTGTATTTGAATTGATTTTGAAAACAAATGACGTTAAAACAATAAAAATTCTTTCTTTAGGGTCTTAGTGTAAATGATTGGCCTGGTTTGGCTGGTCTTATATATACCGAAGTTTTTAGCTTAGATTTTTTAACGCCTTTGACTGAAAACGATACGCATTTCAAATTAGAACCACATCCCTCGCTTGATCTTACACGTTACACAGAGATGGTACAAAATGCTACAGAAGTTATAGGTTCAAAAGGGTTAGATTTATTGGGTAATGTTTATGCGCCTCGCGGTAACGTGCAAGTACATTTACCATTTTTAGAAGTAACAGCATTCAATCCACGTTCTAGAATAACACTGACTTTTAGAAAGCCAGAGAAGAGGTATATTAAGAATAATATATCTAATTTTTATTTTCTAGTTTTTTTAAATTTTTTAGAGATATGTCTGTTGGTCTAACAACACCACGTGTACGTGCCCATCGTGCTCAGCACACAAAAACACCAGAACCACAAAAACCATGGCGTCCATGGAAGAAAAAAATAGATGAAAAAAGTATAACTGAAAAATTATTAATACCATTGCCAGTACCGCACCCAGTGCATATCGCCATTGCTATACATAATCGGGATAGTGAGAATCCAATACCACTTGATTCGGAATTAGTATGGGAGATATTAAAATCAATTGAGGATTGTCAAAACGGTGATTTTATGGTTAGTAATTACATATTTCTCTATGTACAATATATAACTTAATTAATAATTTTCTACTTTATTTAAGGCTGTGCAATCTGTGGCGCGTTACCGAGGCGCCATAACAGAGTCGAGTAACGACTCATTAGCTTCAAGCAGTAGCATTGGGAGTACACGAGATTCTGCTGGTTCAGCTTCTGGTTCTGCAGTTGGCAATGGTACTGAAACTTTACCCTGTGTGAATCGGGAGGTAAGAAGAACAATAGAAATGTGAATTCAAATAAACAGTTTAACTGGGTCCTATCAGAGCGGAGTACTGTCATTGTTGTTGGTAAAGACCGAGTCTTACCAAATAGTAAATTTTTAGTTATTTGAATGACGGTGATAATATCTATTATTGACGGTTTTTTAATATTAAATGCGAATTTAAACTTTCGAACTGCTGTTCTCTTTTTGGTTCAGATTAAAAAATCCCAGCCACAAAGAATGTGACCAAAATTCTAATCTGCTTCAAAGCATAGCTGACATTTTAACTACTCAAACTCATCTTGTTGAGCTAGTAAAGCAAGCATTAGCGCATATACAAGAAGTTTAAACCCCCATAAAATATTTAGGACCATTTTAGATTGTATATAATATAGATGAACATTGAATTAATGTTCAAAAATCTCCGTGGATTAGTCTCTGTAGCGCTTCTGACCTCAGGCCAATGATAGATTGCAGTAATTTTAATAGCAATTCTAATATGAGTTGAGACTCAAATTAAAGTAGTACATTTATGTTGTTGTTGTTGTTGTAACCCGCTGGGACTTGTTAGTAGATAACAAAAAGGATATACAAGACGATTACATGGGTGGGGAAGTGACTGCATTTATAATATCAATTATATTATAAGGAATCTATTGTATGTGCTAGTTAGATAATACCATCTTTCTATTATACTAGAAACATATAGTATATTTTTGATAATCCGGACATCACGGTAATCCGAAGTTATTTTGTTATAAGCTCTCCTACAAGGTATATATATAAATAGATACAATTATTATACGCAATAAAGAATATATAACATATTTAAAAAAAAAACCTTTTTTCTATATTCTTATTTATTTTTTTTATATTTTTATGTTTTGTATTATATATAACTAATTTTTTTTCTTTCTTTAGGTCTGCACTCAAGTCAAAGTAGCTGATGAGCCAATGCAACCGTCGTCTGGCTTCCATTGGACACTTAGTAACTGGGGAGCTGCGCAAACTGCTCGTCGGCGCACTAATTCCAATGTGCGAGTGGATCTAGCCAGTCCCGAAGATATATCTTTAGATACGGATAGTTCACGTGCTGTGTTCAATGCATACGGTACAACGGTTTAATATTAACAGTTTATTAGTTAGTGTATCTAACCAAAAGCTATTTTCAATTTCATGCATAATTTTAACGAAAAAAAAAAAATTTAAATTATTTTTTTTTAATTTTGAATTTATACATTTTTAAAAAGTTACAAAATATGTTGAAACAAATCAAATTCATTAGGAGTTTAGCAATATAATGGTTTTTAAACAAGTTTAGATTTAAAATTTCTACAAAGCAAAATTAACAAATAAGCTAAAAATTGTATATATACGCGTATATACAAAATATATCTTAAAAAATTTATATTTAAACGAACAAATTAATATGTATATTCTTAAGCATCTAGTCGCCATTAACAATATTAACATCTCATTTAATAACGAATATTTTTCGTTTATATGTCTACCTACTTTTTAATATAAAGCTAATTGTTGTTTAGTTATTCAACATTTACTATAAACTTCATAATATTATATTTACTATAGCAGCTTATTTAACTTTACAGCAAAGCGTATACATAGATTATTAATTATTTTTATTTATTATTATTTTTCGTTTTTTTTTGGCTTTGTTACTACTTTGACACAATTACAGGTCGCACTTGAGATTACTTGTTTTATATATGTAGTTATTAAAAAGAAAGATTTTTATTTAAAAATATATATAATATATAATTTTGTATGTGTTTTTTACCAAATACTACTTTTTAATTAGATTATTAAATATATCGTTTTTATTATTTTTTAAATTTACACATATTAGTCTATAAGTCCTTCTTTTCTAAGCAATGCAATTTTTTTTTAAAGCTATATTATATTTAATATATTTTACTCATTTAAATATTGCTTTTAAAATAATGAACAAAAATTAACTCTTAAGTAGAGAACAAATTATAAAAATACATAATTATAACAATAATAAACTATATATAATATATACATAAGGACTATTAAAAAAAATCATTACGAAAATATGTCCAAACCCCCGCCCTTTCCTTAACCACCTATAAAAGCGATATGCTATAATAAGAGAAGTCTTCTTCGTTCTTAGTTAAAATTTTAATAAAGTACAACAAATATTTAAAGTAAATTTGCTAAACTGTTTAAATTAAATATTCAGTGAAATCTTTTTTTAAATGTATATTATATATTAATTAATTTAATTAATTCCTTTGGATCTTTAAAAATTTGTTAATATTGCAAATACTTCTAGTACTATTAAGATCTCTGACAACAATTATTCACAGCGTAGAAATATTAAATATTACAATAAAATTATATTTTAGACAACAGTCCAGAAGAGCTGGCGAAGTTTAACAAATTTTTTTAATATGATTTATTATCTTATAATTTTTAAAAAAGCTGAAAAGGACACAGGTTTTTTAAAACCTTCTAAATTTAATATATGTTTTTAATACATTGTTCTGTACCTTTTTTCAATTCTTCTTTGTGTATACATAACTAAGCCAATTATTTAATATTTTTTTTTATAAAGAGGTTTTCGAACAGAAGTGAAACAACAACAAAAATTTATTTTTTTTTTTTTTTAAATTATTTTAATTAATTGAATTTTTGGCTGACCATACAGCTGTTTCGAGTATTGCCAAATACCCTTCATCAGTGGTCTTGGAAATAATTCTTGTATTTAATTATTCGTAAATAATTATTTTTTGAGAAATTTGTATTTTTTTTATTAAATACAAATTTATTTTTTGTCTTACATTCACTTCAAATCTGTATTTAAAATAGTATTATATTAAGAATTTATTTTCAATTGTACAATATTTTGCTCTCTACTTTTATATAAGTTAATTGGTATAATAAATACCAATTTAAATGAATATTTTAAATATTTTATAATACAATATATTTATAACCAAATGTTATTATAATTATATGTAAGTTACGGGTTAGCACTGAAGTTAATTTAATATATGAGCAAATAAGCAATTGTTTTGTTTTTAATGGTTTATTTTTTCAGTTAAAAATTTAGAAACTTTATTCTGTAGTCATCATAAAACTCTTTGTTCAGATAAATGTGAAGTGATAGAATTATTATATCCCGATAAAAAAAATATCCCGATAGTGACATATATTTTATTAATTTAAAATGTTTGTAAGAAAATAAGGGGATAAGGCATATATCGCATTAGAAAATTATATTCCAATATATACTGATAATAACTATTGAATATATTCAAAGGCAAGATATCAAAATAAGTAAAATTTAAAATCGAAATTGACATTTTTCAATTATTTTAAATTAACTTCAGTAGTATTAATACATTAACTCGTAAAATATAAAATATATTAGCTAATTTATATTTGATTTTTTTTTCATAATCCTTTACTAACACTATTGCCATTTGAAGCTCTTTCAAAACTAAATATTTCTCTTAAAATATTTTTAGTAACAATTTTTTTTAAACATTTTAATATGTATACATTAACAGTGAATTAAATTTTAAAATTATATTCTATTTGAAAAGTATTATTTTAAACAAAATATAATTATATTAAAAATGTTCTTTAATATAAGTTTGAAATTATTTTTTATTTACTTTTCTTTATTTATATTTTTAATAAAATTTATGTGTACGTAAAATAATGTAATATTTCTTTAAAAATGGTTACATCAAAAAAATTTATTTTTGTTTTATAAAATAAAAACTAACAAATTAAGTTTTACATTGACATAATCCTTATCAACAAGTATAAATAATTTATTAAAATTTTAACAATGTACACTTATTTTCTGTATTCATTTTTTAGCGCTGACTAACAGTGCTTCTATTTTTTTATATACTTTTTATTTTGGCTAAACTTAATTGTATAATTCATTTTCCTAAACAAATATATATTTAGTTTAATTTTTTAATAAATAGTTTCAAATTAATAAAATATATGTGAAATAATAATCCAAATAAAAAGAATAATGAGGATATTGCCCATAAAAAATCATGTCAAAATTATAATGTAATAAATATCATGTTGGTAAGAAAATTGATTTATTTAATTTTTAAATATAATTATAATAATTCAATAAAAATGGTTTAAAATGTAATTTTATTTGAATTTAATGCACGAAACTCTTTTTGTCTTAAAATTACTCTACTTAATTTAAGAATTAGTTGCAAAATCAATATCTAATTTTTCGTATTTTAAAATTTAATTTATTAATTTTAAATTAATTTGTCTTTTATAGTTATTTTCTCTATAAATTTCCCCGACGTTTAGAAATTTTATTCATTACTTCGTTAGAACGATTCAGAAAAGAATTGTGAAAAAAAAAACATTTTCAAATACAAACAAATAATTTTCAATATCCAACTAAATTGAATTTAATTTCAAAGTAAATCTTTTAACTATACTTAGCTCAAATATAAGTCAATAACATAATAAAAAGTTGTAGTGCTAGACAATGGCTCAAAAAAATTGAAAAATATAAAATAAAAATGGAAAAATATAATAAGGAATTACTGAAAAACATTTTGATAGGACCACTTTTAAGCCGAACTGAACGATTGTGGCGATGCCAGCTATATCTAGAGCAGCTGGTGCAAATAGTAGAAATTCTTGCTGTTTAACTTTGAACTAGAAATACTATATATATACATTAAAATAAGCAATTGTTAAAGTATCAGCTAACAGCACTGAAAGTGTAAAAAAGAAAGTTTTACAAAAAATTCTTCAGAAATCGAATGTAAAAGCATTTTTAATGTTAAAATATTTAAAAATTGTTGAAAAGATTTGTTGAAAAAATTTGATAACAACATACTTAAGCCTTTTCTAATTTAAATTTTTTTTCCTTAAAATGTAATATTATTATAATATTATATCGTCGCAAGAAACTTATTTTATGTGATAACATTTTAGAGCCAGACAACCAGGCGTCGTCCACCACTCTACCCGAAACTACACCAGCAGATCTCTGCGAATTAAAAAATTGAGTACATACTTCGTGATATTTTTATAATCGCCACGTTTTAAAATGCAAGATACGAGTATCAACAAATGGCATTATGTACTCTAATAAGTCATAATATTATGACGGTCGTATATTTATGATATCATTATTAAGATGTTGAGAATTGCCCTATTGTACCTTAAATATTGTACGATTTTCTGTTCTTATATTAAGTTTACTGAATTTTAGAGTAAGTTACTAATGTAAAATAACTCCGTATTAAGGTATTGCCCAATAACTAAATGTCGCTATGAGTACTTTCAATATTTTTTCAAGCCTTCGATATCTCTTTTATTTCAAGGTATAAATTTGATTAAATATATTTTGATACAATATGCTACAGTTTTAAAAATTTTACTGCTAATAATATAATACGACGAATACAACTCTGTAGCTCATGATTTTCATATGTCGTATGTTGTAAATCAATCAGCTGTTCATTATAATTTTTTGATTTCTTAACATTTATTATAATGTGGAATCATAAAAAAACAAGTTCGCAAAAGCAAAGGGTAAGGAAATAGTAAGAAATAACAAATAATGTAACAAATAATGTAATTGTTATATATTTCTTTATATTGTTAAGTTCAAAGCTACGCGGGAAAGAAAAAACCCAATAAAAAAATGGATGCCTGCGGAGGAAGCAGCGCTTATAAATTTTCTAAAAGAAAATGTTGACTTTGAGGTTTACTGCAATATTTCAAATTAATTTAGTGATAAGTGAAGACAAATAATTTTAATTTTTAGAAGCCAACTGCACAAGTATTTTATAAACGTTTTCTTCAAAGTAGCGCGGTGATTGCAGATTGGAAAATTGTTCGCTCGAAAGTGCGCAATATGCGAACAACTTATAGTAAAACTAGAGAATGGATAAATACGGTTGGGAAAGTTATGGCAGATGATGAAACTGTGGAAAGTAAGTTTTCAAACTCAAGAATAATTTTTTGCCAAAATATACTATACACACTATTGTAACAATACACCATATATTCAGTAGCGTATTTTAAAATTTGGCGCCTTAGATAATCAAAATTTTCCGTCCTAAAAAATTAACAAAAAGGAAGCTAAAATAAGTTAATAAAGATAATTATTAATTAATACTAGTTATTAACTAATCCTAGTTAAATGATTGAAATGATTAATTAATAGTTTAATAATAATAGTTATAAAAATTAATAGTAATTTATAATAAAACTATTAATTAATAATAATAAATTAATAATATAAAAGTAATTTTAATAACTTAAAATAATATAATTAATTATTTAAACTTTTACGATGCACAAATTAGTTGGTAAATTTAGAAATAAACAAGATTTGTTAACCCACCTGTTGGCATTTATATGGACCGGCAAGATCAACAAATTCTCGTATTCCTTCGATGAGTTTTGATTTTCCAAAAACAGATATGCCGAAGAGACAAAATCATTGTGTGGCCGTAGAAATAATCCAAAACCTCACACCATCTTTAAGAACATTTCTTTAACATACTCGAAATGCTTTTAAACTGTGTAATATTTAGTCAGTATTTAATCATGTATTTAGTCAGAAGAGAACTATGTTATATAAAATGAATAAGTGTTGCCGAAAAATATTATGAAAAAATATATATATTAATTTATATTTATAAAAATTTATATTTTTCACTTATTCGGGAACTTAAAATTATCTGTATTTTTCATTTTTTGAGTACGGAAAACAAACGACCTTTAAATCAAGAATATACTGGAACCCACATTAAAGTTATACCTATATTTTGTTAATTTTAAAACTAATTTTATTATAAATTCTTAATCCTAAAAATATATATTCAAGTCCAAAGAATTTGCATATTTTATAAAAGAAAATTGTTTTAACCTGATATAAGTAATTTTTTTTCCATTTGTAACTATAAAATACAACTTATTTTTATCACAAAACTATTTCTTCACATTAAATTTATAATTATAATTTAAAGCAAGAAAGTGATGATTTAATATAAGATAATTTTCCCTTAGTGTAAGTACGTAGTGTAAGTATTAAAGCCTTCCCAACTATCAGCAGGCGCGCCATGAAATCCATAGCTTTAGGTTAAATACGCCACTGTATATATTTGTATTATCAAGCCAACATATAATAGGTCTGTTCCACGAACTACTCGTAGTAAAACACAAGTAAATTACAAACTGAGAGCGTAACACAAATAAAATGCCAAGTTTCGCGCTTTACACAGATTTTCATGGAACACCTTTGTGTAAAATCTGGTGAGAACACCAGTGCCGCGCAAATAAACAATACAAAAATTTAAAATCAAACGAAAACAGTTGATTCACTCATCAACACAATTTTTACTTGAAATAAAATGTACGAGTAAAGTCTGTGTAACATTTTCAAATTTCGACAGGGATGTTACGCTCTCTCAGATGCTCTCATATACTCGAAAATTTGCCGGTTGAACGCAGTTGTTACTCAAAGTTACTACGAGTAGCTCGTGGAACAGGCCTAATATATCGCACTTATGTGTGATTATTTTTACACTTTACCATTTTATTTAATTTCAAAGTAAGAACACAATTTTTGTATTTTAGCTACCACACATAACATGTGTCGATTTTATTATGATTTTGAAGAAATTTTTGGTTCAAACATTTTTAGTACATCTTCGAATTTAGACAGCTTTCAAACTACTATTGTTAACTTGGGAACGTTAAGTGACCAGACTTGTGATGAACCATGTATTGCTATGGTCAAAACGGAAAAAGAAGAAATCGAAAATGTTGATGTTAATATGACAAGCCATGACAGAAGTTTTTCTGGGTCTCAAACTTTGTCAAGTCATGCAGAAATTCAACCATTTGAAGATATTCCTGATAATATACCAACTACAAATTGTAGTGAAGCTTATTTTGGAACAGCTATGTCCGAAATGGCGCAAACTCAAGCAGAAATATTAAAATTAAAAAAAGAAAAAATGCAATTTGACACAATGTTTAAAGAGAAAATAATGCAATTGCTAGAAAGACAGATTGCAATACAAGAGAATAAATTAGAGTTGAAGAAAACAGAGCTAAGCAGTCAAGAACATTTGAAAATTTTGGAGTTGGAAATGAAAGAAAGAATTGCAATGAAGGAGCTCGAACTTAAGTATAAGAGTAAAAATTAAGTTAATTTATTTTATGAAATATATTGTACATACTGTTTTGTTTTGTATCATAGTCACTAACTTAGCAAATAAATTAATGAATTCTATAATTGCAGAAAGAATAATAATAATTTAACATAAGAATAAGAATAATTTAACATAGCTCCATTATTCCATTTACTTTTAATTTTTAAAAAGTACTTTAATAATTAATTTCGGAATCATATAATTATTTATAACTGCTTAGTATTTTTCTTTTTTATACTTATTATAAAAAGTTGACAGTTTCCGGAATGTAAATATCTCAGAAAGTACCAAATATTTTTAACCGATAATATTACTGTAGTAATTGAGAGCAGATGTTTATCATTTCTCTAATAAGCGGCAGTTTGAATCCCTAATACGGTTGGGTAACGAACACGTTTAAAAAATGGAAATGGCTCACTTTACAAAAAAAAAAAAAAGCAAAATCCGGTCTTAAGCATTGTCTAATCTAAACGGTAATGAATGATATTTAAAAAATCATACTAAATAAATAGGAAAAATGTAAATTATTATAGAAGATTAATTTAGGGGAATATGTGAAAAAGTCAATTACTGCTTCAAGCAAATTCATAAGCATCTTTGGGAAACATATGTGTTCTCCTGCCACTTTTATTTACTGGTGTTACAAAGCGATTATACATTATTATATACATTATTGTATTCTGGAGTAGTGTACTGTTATAAAAAAAAGAAAACATACTTTAACCCTTTGGTAATGTTCAATAGCTCTTGACGCTTTATATCACTACGGCCATCAGAATAACTCAGCGACAATTTTTGGAGCTACTCTCAATTAGATTTAGCTTCGAATGCGATAATGTCTTCAGACTACATGATATCGATATTTGTACAGATGGTTCTAAATTATGGGAAGAAGGAGGTGTACTCTAGGTAGAAGTATTTGTTAGAAATCGTCAGAACTTATATAATTGAAAAAAACATCTAACAACGCAATTAATTTATACATATACTCGAAACTAGTATTTACGGTTTCGAGTAACAAGGTCGGTAATCTAAAAGCATAGCCACAGTTTCAGGCAGTAAAAACAAGCCTCAAAAAGATTAAATGTATTTTGTTGATATTACTTGGCACTGATTCTACATTATATCATGTTTTCACTGTTCTCACTCAAGCAGTATTACTCATTAAGACCGATAATGGTAATTATATATAAATCAACCCAAAAATGTCGAATACAACCCTTAAGAATAAATTTCCCACAAGGGAAATCACCAAAATTTAAAATATTTGTCATATATTTTATATGTAAAATGTAAACAAAGTTGAGCTGTAACAAACACGCAAAGAAGGAAGTATTTAATAAAATCTTTGTTTTTATTAATTGAATATGTTATAAATATAAAAAATATATGTGTATATAAATGATTTAATATATCAATTATATGTTTAATTATTTGTATGTACTAATATATAAAGTTTTTTGGTCTCAAAAATTAAATTTGTAGTAGAAATTAAAAAATTGATTTCTGATTAAAATTTAGACGAAAGCAATGCTATTTATTTTTTTTAATAATTATTAATTTTTTCCAATACATTGCAAGTTGTATGCACTTACTATTGATTTATGCATGTTGTGTACAATTTCACTACATATTATTATATATTAAATTGTTTAATATATTCATTATATAATAAATAGTTTGCATTTTTTGCAATTTTCTTGCTGAATTAATTTTGCTAACCATACAAAACTAAATATCATTTGCTCACAATAGAAATGTAAACAAAGAAAAGCCTTAAAAATTATTTCACATGCATAAAGAAGCTCATGCAATGGAAACAGCCAAATCTTAATCAAATTAGTAGTTTTAGTTGCAGTGGATACATGATATTACCGAATGTGTTACTGGAAAACATTAATGCGCCTCAAATCGCATTGTATTTTATAAAATTTTATAGCAAGACTTGTAATTAAATATGTTATGAATTTTAAATTTTCTATATGCGCTATCGTCCATCCATATTTTTATAAATGATTTGCAATGCAATATATAATTTCTGCGCACATCTTTTTCTAAGACATAAATTAATATTGATTAACGCATATTAGTATATTTGAAAAACTTAAATTGACGCGGTTAGTAAAAATGTCAAAGTCAATGTACGTCAACAAATATGTCAAAAGCAAAAAATTTCCCTTTGGGATATTCCAACATAAAATGTACCACGAAATTTGGCATATCGCGAAGCGAATGTAAACAAAGAATTTATTAACAAAAAATCACAAATTATTTGTAATGCATTTTAGTTAATTGAAATGTAATTAAATTTAAGCAAAAATATATTATTGGTTCTGTATTATAATTGATTACACATTAATATATTATAATATATTACTAATGATATATAGAATATTCATTTAAGATGGAGAAAAGTAATAAAAAGCAAGTGAGTTTCTTGATATTTGTTTATTTATCTTTGATATATACAAACAATTTTTCTTATTTTATTTTTCAGAGAAGGAAACGAACAGCTTGGACAGAAAATACGGAAAGACATTTGCTGAAGTTGTGGAAAAAACATGTGCTAGATTTGCGGGAACTACAGCGAAACGGACAAGTATTTAACGAAATGGCGAAGGAGCTGGCTGCACCTGGTTTCGCGGTAACCACCAATGAAGTGCAGAAGAAACTGCACGATTTCAGTAAACGATTTAGGTAAACAGTACTTAAGTATAGTTAAACTTGGTAAAGTTATAAATATAGCTTTGAACCTATATTTTAAAAAACTTCAATCGAATTGATATTAAACAATGATAACATTACTCACTCTAATAAACTAACACACAAACCGAGTTGCAAAATATGACAGTCTGACCTCAATTATAATGCTGTTTGTTCATTCAGGCGATGCGACATCCTTGTTGCAGATTTTCGTTCATACATTAAAGCGATGTGGTTACGATGCAATTTAAATTGTAGCTTATTAAGCTATAGCTGGCTTCAAACTTTGTAAATTAGAAAAATACATTATTTTACAGAAAGTATAATGTTAAAAGGATTGGTTGAAGAGGTCAAGACATTTCTAAAAACATCAGATACTAAATTCACGAAATTTTAAGCATGTATGAACCCAACAAGCACTTAAATTCGCTCGTACCAAAAATATAATACCTGAAATTATTTTATAAAACATGATCTATGTTTGTTTAAAATTATATTATTTAAAAATTATATTATTATATAAGTATTAACTTTATTTTATACAAATTTTGTATTGGGTACAAAAACCGAATATCATAAAAACTATATATATTACTATACTATATATGTATATACATATATAGCTCAGATTGCGTAGCTCAGATGGATGTCCAGTCTTATGCTTAACTATGCTGCATAATTACTTTTATTGATCACCCATATATTTAGTATTTGTATTACATAGCGTAGAAGTACTATTAGTGAACTACATTCACCTATTCTATAATCAGTTATTATTATTTTAACAGAAAAGAACAACAAAACATTAAACTGTCTGGAGTTTCATCCTCAGAATGGAAATATTTCGATTTAATAGGAGATATATTGCGCAATTTACCGTTACATAACACAAATTCATTAGTGTGCGATAGCATTACAGGTTAGTTTTATAAAATAAAGTTCAAGTTTTAAAAGTATTAATTGTTTTTCAAATTTTGTAGACCAAATGTCTTCATCTAGTAACTGCATATTACTGTCCCCATCAAATGAATTATTGACTGCACCATCACCATCAACACTTGTAGATCCACTTTCGCTTTCAACTGACTCAGATTGCTCCAGTACAAAAAATAAGAAAATTAAATTAGATGACGACAACAACATTATGGTTATAGAAGAGACCGAGTCTGCACCCCAGAGGAACTTGTCTTTAAAGTCAAATAAGTACCACTCACCTCTCCCAACTGGTTTACCACAACAAGACAATTTATTGCAAGAGTTAAAAAAATTGAATGATATTGCGAAGGTGCAAATGGAATGGCAACAAAAAATGGATACAGCTTATCAACAAATAATGCAAAAAAATATGGATTCACTGCGACGAATGTCGGAAGCAATCAAAATGTTAGAGAACGGAAATATTAAACAACACATAAACAATCAGACTTTAAATGAAACATCTAACATTACGATTAGTAGAAAAAATGAAATATTTGAAATTGTTTATGAGAATACGCCAAGTACTGAAACAATAAATGATCAGATTACAGATGAAAAATCTGTAACAATAGTTAAAACAGAATATGAAGAGTTTGATGATGATGGTGTCGATGAGGAAACACGAAGTACAGAAGCAATAACTGATTTCACTTCAGATGAAACATCCATTACAAAAATTAAAGAAGAACATGAAGAGTTTGAATATATTCGCGATAGTATGCCGAGTGAAGGAAGAATAATAAGTAATCAGATTTCAGATGAAACATTTAAAATAGAAACAGATGCATTTTCAAATGTTTCTAAAAGTGTTTTAAGTACAAACCAAGACGAATGTTTTCCAGTTCTTCTTACTAAATCATGTAGATATCCAAATCTTTGAAAATGTTTCTGATGATTCAATTCAATTACAAACAACTATTTTGAATTATATTATTTTGGAAATTATTTAAAATTATTAGTGCACTGATTTAACTACTTTTATGGTAGTATAACAAAATGGAAAGAGATATTGATGTTATAGATTTAGAATGATTCTAAAATATTTTATCAGATCATAAATGAGGCTTTTAATTATTTTTTTTTTTCATGCTTCAGTTAAAAAATAATTGATCAAAATTATAGTATATATGTTTACATAAGAATAATTTATACTTATAATGTTTTCAAAATATTTAGTTTAAAAGTTATTTTGAGAATTTATTAAAAATATTTGTTTTAAGATATTATTCTACGCAACCGACCTTTTAATAAAAAATTTGACTAATAAAAAAAAACATTATAGTTGATTATAAGACTAATGACTTTAAATACTTCCAAAGGAAAGTCCTACTGGAGTTAAAAATCCTACACGATCTTGCTACAGCTCGATTTCTTTGAACACCGCAGTTTTCAAACACGAGCTTCATTAATTCGTTGATTTCTCTGGCAATACTCGTATAACGTTCAAAAGGGGTTTTCAACAGCAGGTCCACCTTAAATAACACCGGTTCGCAAAAGATTGTATATCCGCTTTTATCGATATTATTTTTTGCGAATTTATTGATACCGGCGCTTGCAAAATATATAGAGAACATATTTCAGGTCCTTGTTCAACATATATTTTGGGTTCACAGTAAATTTTGGGTTTAATATATATAATAGAATATATTACAGGTCCTTGTTAAGCATTTGTGGAGAAACACAAATTCGCAGTATGTTATATTGATTTTACCAGTACATAGTCATTTCTGCATTTTAGTGTAGACCTAAGCATGTTAGCAGGCCATAACCCATACCAAGTAGTAGATTTTTTGAGATTTTAGTGCCTAACCCATACCAAGGAGTGGATTTTTTGGGATGCATCGGTAACTGATTTATCTTAAGGTCCAATGTGCTCCAAAATAAATGAGCTACCAAAAGTTTATATTATAAATTTACTTTTTCAAGTTTTATAACCATATTTTACAATAAAGCGTTAAAATTATTAGCAGTTTTAAACTCAATATTATTTTTTAATATCCTTCTTATCGGCTGACTTTTAGTATTTGTAAAAATAAAAAATTATCGCGCTATAGTTAAGTTAAAACTTATGGATGATCCGCGTCAGCACAAGCGACAGTAGAAAATCTTTATCATGCTAATTAAAAGACGTAAAAATCGATAATCCGCTACAAATTAAATGTACTACGCATTCGTCTTGTTGTAAGCTTGATACTATAGCTTCCCCCTTGCGTTGAAGGAGTTAAAATATTCCCGAGGTAAGGCGACTAAAATCCCGGCACCATTTCGACACCGTTTTTAGTATGAATGGTTCACTCACGATACTCAACCGGAGATGTATGTCTGGTACCACTGGGGTCAATGCCCGCATGTCCTGACCAATTCAGGTTGACAGTGTCGTGGTGGCTGTGGTTAAATCCAAACTTCGTATTCACACTACGTGCTGTAACCCAAAGATCAGTAGTAGTATCGGTAGGTTTCAATCCTTACCAAGGGGAAAGTTATGCCAAACACATAACTTAAACTGGATTCGACGGAAATTCCATGAAATTTTTAATAGAGCGTTCATCGGGACATTATCTTGAGCCTTCAAGGCAGGTAACTACATTAAACAACTCTGGACTCTGATTTTGATTCTTCTTCTTGAGTTAGTGCTATTACGCACTTTTACTCTATAATGGCTTGGGGGCTTATCTCTACCCCACACTAGACTTAAACTAGACTAAGAAATCATATCATTTATTTGTCTTTTAGTTAATGACGGACCTTAAATCAGCATATCTTCCTGAGAGTCCAGAAGTGGACTTGAGGATTGTTAGGGCGGGGTTAAGTAGCGTATCAACTTTAGTGAATAATTTTAGAGCTCTGTCTCTGATATATTTTTTCACTGAGTCAATCCTAAGATGTCTATGTATGTCTGTTGATCTAATATACCATGGAATCTTACACAGTCTTCTTAAAGCCAGGTTTTGTGCTATCTGTAATTGCTTTATGGTAGTATTTGAGGCATTGCTATATGTAACACATCCGTACAGTAGTGCTGGTCTAATTACTTGCGTATAAAGTAACTTTCTGTTTTTAAAGTTGAAGTGATAATTATTAAATAGCGGCTTTAATAAATGTAGAATCTTAAAGCAGCTATTCCGTTTTTATTTCAAATGTTTAAGCCAATTGAACCGTTTGTCAAAAGTGACCCCCAGATATTTTATGTTATCCTCCCACCGAATCTCCATGTCACAAACGCTCACTCTTGGAGGATGACTTTTTTGAGTTATAAATATAGCCTTGGACTCTGTAAGCTATGTAAAGCTTAGATTTAATACAAGATAATTATATCTCTGCAGAAGGAAGCAACCGTACACAATTTATTATGCATCAAAACGTTGAAACACAAATCCAAAGCATATATGGGCGTTATGCAAAATCGCTTCTTTATATATATTTTGATATTAAAATCAGAAAACGCTATTTTTCATAAATATGTTCAAATGATATACATTTTGTAAATGTTACATAAAGTGTTTCCTTATAGTACTGAAATGATTCTTATAATTATTTATTTTTTTTAGTTCAATATTTATTATTAAAATTATTTTTCATTGACAATAATATTCTGTTTTTGGATTTTGAATGCCTTTAATATTAAAGTAATATTTTCTAAAGAGGTTTTGTCGAACAGTAGTGAAATACAACAACAAAAGTTTATTTTTTATATTATTTTAATTAATTGAAATTTTGGCTGACCATACAGCTGTTTCGAGTATTGCCAAATACCCATCATCAGTGGTCTTGGAAATAATTCTTGCATTTAATTATTCGTAAATAATTATTTTTGAGACTGCAAGTACCAGGAATCGAACTCGGTAATATTTTCTTGAACATCTTTTCGAAGATTTTTTTTTGGGTAAAAATGCTAATGAAAGTAAAATCGGGAAAATTTAAAAAAAATATTAAATCAAATAATATGGTTTTTTAAAGATTGATGTTAAAGGCGATTTTTCAAATCCTTACTTATTTTAAGCTCCTAAAATTCTGTTTCCCCCTAAATGCGAGTCTTTGTATTTTAAGAATGAAGTCAGTAAAAAAATTTTGTTCAAATCTGAGGTGATAAAATCAATATATATACGAGCATATATTAAATACACTCAATCCAAGAAAAGTCAATTTCACATCATTTTTGAAATTCATAGTTTACATTTAGGAATAATTGGAAATCTTTTGAATTAATATTTTTGAACATGTCAATAATAATAGTTTACATTGTTATGATTTCCCTGAAACCCAAAATGTTTTTCGGTACTTCCCTCTATTGTCTTTTTTTTGCTGTTTTGTGAGTACACTTTTTGCATAGTTCCAAAAAGTAGACTACATCTTAAAACTGTAGCTAGAGGAGTACATTTGTCTTTATTTTAAATAGGATATTATAGTTGGTTGATAAAAATGTACCAACTCATCACGTGGTATTGGAGAGGAAATAGGGTCCAAATGGACATGTCTACACGAGCAGTCCATTATCGTTTAAGATATACGGGAACGTTGACCTAAAAACCTGCAAAAAACTCCTCTTAATCAAAAGAATGAAAACCATTGGATTCAGTCTGGCTGTTCAGATTCCTATTTTCAGATGAATATAAATTTAAACTCATAGAACCGGTCAGTTTTCGTATAGTGCGCCACAGACCAAATAAACGGTTTGAAGAAAATTGCGTCATTACTACTGTCAAACAGTTTTCAAATATAAAATGGAGTCATTTTTAACAGAATTATTCTGAGCTTAGAGTCACTTACTGAAATGCAAATGATTCTTATTTTCAAGAAAATTAAAGTGTTACTATGTTTCTAACATTTTAAACTGTTATTATCTTTTCCACTTTTCGAATTATTAGAGTCAAAAACTACTGTAGAACTAAAGAAAACCATTGAAATAGTTTGATACGAAGATATTACTGCAGAATATATATTTGCTTTATTTGACTCCATATCCAATAAGATCAATAATATGATTAAGGTAAAGTTTTCATAATTTTATAAATATCCATTTATGATTAGTATAATAATAGTAAAATAGATAAAACTGACAAGGTACGCTCCAATCGAAGCAATAAAATGCTGAAGACTAGGGTTTTTGGCCCAACAAATTAACCAGTCCATTCAACTCTCAACGAAATCAAATTGCCAAAAAGTAAGGGAATTTAGGATGTGGTCCAACATGATGTTGAAACTAATGAAAGTTCTTCTGCAGACTTCTGCAGAGTCACAAAGTTACATGTAATAATTGGATGTGATGCTAACTTTCACCACATGATGTACTGAAGCAGCAACAGCAAAATAAAAAGGATAAGTAGCTATTGTCTTACCAGAAGGATTACAAATAGCTGAACAGTTGTAAACCTACTCCTATCAATGTAATAAGAAATATGTATTGGACCTTACGAAATGCACAATGCAATTGCAGAATTCATATTATCGATGTTTGCACATCTGAACATCATCCTACTAAGCAAGAAAAAGTAAGTAAGACCAATGGTTTAGTGTGTTCTGCAAATATTTTTTTTGTTAGATCATTAGAAAATGTAAATCGATTGAATTGGTTGCTAATCAGTTAGGTGAGGTTTTATTAACCGTCACAATATGGGTTCTTAGTGGAATGAGCAACTCGCATATAAGCGTAAAGAAATATAGAGATTATTTAATAGGTTATGTAATTCCTTTACATAGACTTGAAGAAATGTAAAGATTTTTTTTACAAATATAATACTTATAAGAATAAATATATAATCATATAGTGAAACTAGAATTAATACTTATAAACATAAGAATTTCTTTAATTCTTATTCTTCTTTGCTCAATAGAACGCTAGTTACCACTTTTAGTTAATAGTGTCACATTAGTTAAAGATAGGATCTTTTTTAGAAAGAAAGTAAATATAATTTAAGAAAAACCCTTTATCTATACCAAATTTGATGACTAAATCATATAACTAAATTTTTCTCGGTTAATTGTACTTCATGGAAAAATTTGGAAAATTGCATGTAACAGTTTACATTTTTATAATTTTTTCGGAAATTTAAAATTGTATTGCTAGATTTTTTGGAATCATTATTAGCTTGGCTACATACTTCAATAACTTCAAATAATTCTATAAAAATTCTCTACTGGCGGTTAGTCATACGAACTAGGATGCTTAACCACAATTTTATTTCTAGCCAATATATTATATGTTATAATAATATATATTACATATAATATATGTTACATTATATTTTAATATATATTAAATATTATTATAATATATATTATATATTAGACAATTTTATTATATATCACTTAAATAATATATGGATTTCTTCAGCAAAATATGGTGTGGTACCATCTTATTAAAACCAGAAGCTATCAAAACTGTGTTAATTATGGAAGACTAAATCTTTGATAAGGGCTATGTTTCATAATAATAATAGAGTGCTATTGACTCTATTATTCTGATTTTCTTCATTTTTTAAAAAAACGCCGGTAATATTTTTTTAAATGTGCATTGGTAGGTAATGGATAACTTTTTAATTAATTAATAATTATTTTATTACATTAATTATTTCATATCTCAAGAATCAAGCTGTATTTACATATAGTGTAGTTGGTCACCAGAAAACTGCTCACAACTCGACTGCTTGAACGAAGTAATCATGAAAAAACGACCAGAATTGACCAGGGAGTTGTGTTCCTTCATGACAATACTAAGCCAAACACAATTTTGATAACTAGAAACAAATTAACGAAACTTAGTTGAGAAATTTTGATGCATCTACCGTGTAACCCGAACCTTACACTGTCTAACTACTGTTTGTTTTAATGTCTGCAAAATTTTCTTAACGCTAAAAAATTGGCGGCTGAAAATCACTAGACCAAGTTTCTCACCGAACAATCACAGAACAGGTCATAGATAATAATAGTCAATAAATACTTAATTAAAATTAATTAACAGTAAAAAAAATTATTATATAAAAATATATTAAAAAACTGGCGGTACATTTTATATCACCTAATATGTTTAAAACAAGACAAAGAGAACAGGATTTTGCATGTTTGGTAGTTGTTTTTGTAATTTCATACAAAATATATGAAGGGGTTGGTACAGGTGAAGACTTAAGCATGATATAGATGATGCTACATATCTGCACACCAAGTATTAAGTTCAAGTATGCACTTTGCTATACACTTTGAAACAAGGTATGCATACTTCATTTTGATTTATTTTCTACAGCATTCATAACAACAGCGGATCAAGCGAGTGCAAAACAGTAATCGAGACTGAAGGAATTGATATGATGATAATAGCAACATGTTAAAGTCAAACTTCCATAACTCGAAGTCCAATCTTGCAAAGAAAAGGTTTGACTTATGGAGACTTCGAATTAGAGAATTTTTTTTATTTTTGAAAGATACTAGAATTACATTTTAAGATATTTATTTATTTACAATCAAATAAAGCACAGAAGTTATAGTAAAGTAAAATATTCAGAAATTTGGGTTTGGGACTTTAATTTTTTCCTTATATTCTGTAAAAATAGATTTCAATTTATTCAAACTCTTATAGTGATCATCAGTTGTAGTATCATTCGTTTGGAAATAAAAATTCCGAATATTGAATGAGTCTTCTACTTTATTCTTGGAAGGCTGATGAACAATTACATCCACCGAACCCTACCATTGTCATCACTTTCCGTTGCGCTTAGAATTGGATCCAGTAATTTAGAGCTATATTGCTCAATAATATCGTTATCTGTAGGTTGAAGCTTGATGTACAAATTTTATTGTCAAGCTCAATATAATCGTTAAGAGTAGCATTGGAAGTTATTTTTTTATTTACTTTAAACCACGCTGCTAGCGACTGACATTTGCAAAAAGAAGCAATATAAGAAAGAAAAAATTAAACATTTGGTTTGGAAAAAAGGACTTCCCCTATCACCAAAATGGATTTATACTTAAAACAAAAGTTCGACTTATAGAATACACTTTCCCATATTCCTATTGGCACAGAACAAAATTTTTGTTCGAGTTATAGAGAAATTTGTGTTATAGAAATTCGAGTAAAGGAAGCAGAATTGAATGTAATTTTCTCTCTAAAACCTTGATTCACTGTTTTTGGTTCGAGTTATAGAAAATTCGAGTTATAGAAGTTCGAGCTATGGAAGTTTAACTGTATTTATTTCATTATATAAAGATTTCATATTTCTTAGAATTAAACATAATTTATTATTTTAATTCTTAAAACTAAAATTATTTTTAATTAGAATTAAATTAAATTAGAATTAAACATAATTTCTTATTTTAATTCTTAAAACTAAAATTATTTTTAATTTAATTCTTTAAAATGTTGCATTTTAATATTTTTATACACAAAATAATTTTTTAAATATAAAATCGTACTTAAAAAATGTTTTCAGCACAAAATAATTTTTAAAATACTCGTATATAAACTTCTTTAATAATTGTTTGTAGCACTTTTTTTCAAATTTGCTTCTTTTAAAGAAAATAATTGTCTAGCACTTTTTCAATTATTTTTCAATCTTTTTCTGCGATCTTGGCTCGTCCGACGTTCACCAAAATTCTTAAATTATGAGAAGTCTGCAGATTTCGATATACACAAGCAGACATGTGTGCAGTTCTAATTTTATCGCATACATGTCTCAGACCGAAATTTGGTATGCAAATTTAAACATACACGGTGCGATTTGGTAGCACGCATACCTTGTCTGCAAACATGTAGCACCGTCTATAGCCTGCTTTAGTTTTGTTTTTGTACACAAAATAATACAAAAACAAAAACCATAACTAACTTCATCTGCACCAACCATTTAATACATTTGGTACTCAGTTTAAATTATTTCAAATTAATATAAAAATAACTTTTAAAAACTTTTGTTTACTCAATAAAAATTGTATTCGCCTGCAATGTCAGTATAATAAATATTTTTATTTTTCTTCTGCGTTTTTCTTTCTTTCACTGTCTAACATTTTTTTTTCTGCTTGTTTGCTTGTGTTATGTTGAAAGCACTGATGTACTCGAGGTGTGTGTGGTCACACACTTCAGTACAAATGTCAGTTAATACGTATCACGTTTACTGAGAAGTACAGCACGACGCCGTTGCTTTTAATTGTGTATTAAAAATTATTGAGTGAGAAGAATTATTTTGTTAACAATTTCAACAATTTCAACTACTAACAAAAAAAGTAAGTACACTCAATTTTTGATAAATATAATTTTTTTTCATCGTTTGTTGTATTTCATTTAGTGAGTGATGTTGATTATTTTTATTTTTCTTCTGCGTTTTTCTTTCTTTCACTGCAGATAATTTTTTCTTCTGTTTTTCTAGCTGTTGGTATTGAGCTACACGTTCGATTGTGCAAAGGTCGAACAATTTACTACGAATTTTAATAAATATACTTAAGTTCAGGTTTGACGAGAAGTTTAATAAATCACAGTGTTTAGTTTTAGTTTTATATGTTAGGAATTTGAAACATTCAAACAAGGAAATACATGCACTAAGTTATAAACTTTGATAGCTCTGTTTTAATTTATTTCAATTCGAAACTTTTTCAATACCTGACTTCATTATTTTTTTTTTTTTTGAAACGTATTTAGCTATGAGTTGGTGTTAATCATCAACTCTACTTGTTTGCGGACCCACTACGGTCTGACTGGGGTGTTGAATGAGTTGCATGTTTTTGTCAGTTAAGCAACTCCGATTCATTTGTTATAGTACTTAGTTACGCATATCTTTTAGGAATTGCTTGGCTTGACAGCACCTTAAGTTAGTCCAGGGTTGTATTAGGATGGCTATATATTTTTGCTAGAGTTTCACAATGCTTTGTCTTTTATAAATTTTTTAACAGTTGGAACCCTCATTCATCTATTAAGATCTCAATACTATATTTGGACAGGCTTGAAACTTAATCGTATCGTTCAACCTGTCGTAAAGTCGTTCCCATATAATACACAACTATATAAGTTTTGGCCTTATATTTTTATTGTACAATAGTATTATATTTTTAGTACTTAGTTGCCTGGCTTGTTATAATGGACGCAGTGATCGCAACGGCTTATTTCATAGATATGGCTTATTTCTCATTTATATTTGTGCCTTCCGTAAAATGCAGTTATCAAAACTAGGCAATTAAAACTACCAGGTATTTAGCTACTTCATTCAATATAGTTGATTGTGCATACATTTTGCATTTGTATTATTGCTTCTATTTTTCTTCAGATTTTTAAAAATATATACTTGAAACGTGAAATAATTTTATTGTAATATCATACTAAAAATTTGATACTGCTTATTTCCCAACCTATGGCATAAGTTAGATATACACATGTTTTATTTTAGGATTGCTCAGTTATATTATACTAAAAACAAATTGCATGTAGAACAATCAAAATAATAATTAGAAAAACAATAGAAGCTTTAATAGCAGCACTGAAAGATGAAGTCAAAACCCAGAAGAATAACAAAAGAATTAAAAATATATCAAATAAGAAAGAAGGTTATTCACCTGTTATGAACAATTTTTTTTGAAAAAAATGATTTTAATTATATTATTAATTCAACATTAATTTGAACTTGAATTTTATTAAATATTCAAGAAGAACCAGGGTTTTAAACCGGAAAATTTTCGTTCGATTTAATTTCAAAAATATATATACGTTCAGTTCCAGTTTCCGGTTTAGTGTGGGTTCAAAATACTAAAAAAAACTGATATTTATTTAAAAAAATATTATTCATAAAATATTAAATATATAAGTATTATAATATTAAGTATATAAGTGTAAAATATTATTTATACTTTACTATTTTTATAAAATATTCACAAAAGTTAATTTTTTTATTTTTCAAATAGCGTTAAAAATACACATCAATTGTTCCAAAATTTGAAAGTAATGAAGGACACATCTAACTTCACATGAACTACATACATATATATGATTCAATTTAGAAATGTTCGTTTATTTGTGAGTTAATACCGAACTATCTTTAAGTTATTGATCTATTGAAATGAAACTTTAAAAAGGCAGTTTATATAAATCCAAGTAGATCAAATCTGAATTGGACGGAATTAACTGTACTTTGCATATGAAATTATGCCAAATTTATATGTTTGTCAAAAATAAGATTTTGAAGGTTTAAAGGTTTAAAATCTCCTATTAAAATAGGAGTTAAGATTATTGAATCTTCAGCAAAATTAAATTCTAATCTTTGTTTAATTGAAAATAAATTTTGGCCATTGTAATTTATATATCAAAAATAGATAATGGACGCATTTGAGGCAATTAAAGACGTTGTCGAAGAACAAGACAAAGCAAGTTATGAGGTAAATAAAGATGCAATCAAAGAGAGATCAGTTTCCAGATATGAGGCAAATAAGAATGTTTTCATAGCACGTGCAAAAGCAAGATATCAAGCAAATAAAGAAGCTATCAAAGAACAATCAAAAAAAAGATATGCGGCAAATAAAGCTATTATTAAGGAAAAATCAAAAGCCAGATGTGAGTCAAATAAAGAACAAACGGGAGTAGATGTAAATAAAGATGATATTAAAGAAAGATTCGGGGCAAACTATATAGTAAATGAAGATACTATCAAAGAACAAAAAGAAGTAAATACGGATATTATTACAGAGCAATTAACAGCAAGATTTGAGTCAAATCAACAAACTCAAAATCAAGTATATCAAGAAAATGTAGAAAAATTATTGGGACAAGATGAATACGATGTCAAAAAAGGACCGAGAGAGAAATGTGGGTTACAGACTAACAAAGATGTTTTCAAGGAACGTTCAATAAGAAGATATAGGGCCAATAAAGATACTATGAAAGAAAGATCAAAAACAAGATATAAGGAGAATAAGGATGCTATCAAAGAACGTTCAAGAGCAAGATATTGGGCAAATAAAGAAGCAATCAGAGAACAGAAAAGAGTTTATTATGAGGCAAGAAAAGATTTTATAAAAAAACAATCAAAAGCAAAAACTGAGGCAGAGGAGGATATTATCAAAGAACAATCAATGAATAAATATGAGGAAATGGAAAACATTGATAACAATGCTAGATTTGAAGTAAATAAAGACGATATCAATAAGCTGTCATTAGCAAATAATGATAGAAATAAAAATAATAAGAAAAAAAGAAATAGAGCAAGATATGAGGCAAAGAAACATATTTTTCAGGAACAATCAAAAGCAAGGTATCAGGCCAAAAAAGATTCACTGAGAGAACAATCACGGGCAAGATATGCAGCAAATAAGGATGCAATCAAACAACGAGCTAGAGAAAAGTATGCAGCAAATAAAGAAAGTATAAAAGCAAAATGTAGAGCAATTAAAAAAGCTATGATAGAAGAGTTTGAACGAAATGGAAACTGCAAGGTATGTATAATAAAAAGTACTCAAAAATAACATCAATTATACGCCAATTAATCCGAGTAGTATTATGTTAAGTAACATTTTTAAAAATAAAATTTCTGTTTTTTTTTATTTCAAATCAGCAATTCATCTTCATATTAAGTACGTATGCAATAAAAAAAAACACTTGTAATATAAAACATAATTCAGCTATTACTATCTGAATGATATTGTTATATATTTGAAAAAATACATCTAAACATGTTCTTATTATTTGCATTAGTTTAAGACATATTGTACCAATCATAGTTTATTCGGAACTCTATAGGTAGATAAAACTGGTTGCTCGAAACCGTGCATTGACTTAATAGATTCGCAGCAGTAACAGATTAGAGTCAATAAAGATATTCGGTATATATCAATTAAGATGTATGTATGCATCATCAGCAAATTTTAAAAACTAATGCAATCTATTATCAGAGATAAAGTTAAGTCTCTCAGAACCTGTAGCTCTAAAAATTTTGATACAGACGAAACAGATGTATTTCAGAAGTTTTTAGTTTATACGAACGTGTGCAAACATATAGTATCCACAGACCAGTGTATTTCCGTTCTATCGATCGCACGACAGTTAACTTTTCACTTCTGCCTGGAATTCACTACAGTGGTCAAAAAGTTTATATGACTGTATTATGCTCAACTGAACACAGAATACGTTATTTTCAAGTTATCAACATTTTTTGTATAAAGTAAGATTGTTCCCAGTGTTGACACCTAGACTAATACTCCTTTCCCAATCGTATATGCTATTTTGAGAGTCACCCAGTAAAGCATTGATAGTTAATAAACTTGTTCCCTCAACTACTATATCAATATCGTCGCTGTTTAATATTAATTTCAGAATAACTTCGTTCCATTCGCGTGTTAACTGTGTTTAGCTTAGCAGACTTATCTTTTAGTATTGTAAATTTCCATGTTATCAAAACTGTTTAGAATAACCTTCGTTGTCGAATATTAAACACTTCGGCAACATTTAGGATTACTTTCAGAGTGTATTATTCTGTTCCAGTACTTAATTTAATGTGTATTTGCAGTGCCGTCTCAGTCAATCTGTCTATAATGTATACATGCTGTGGTTTTAGCAATCTTTTAGGAACTGACAACATATATGAGTTGCAAAAAAAGAGGACATGTACTGTGCTCTTTCCTGACACGGTTAGGCATAGCCTCACTGCGTTCACTGGTTTTTCTTTTCCTTAGTATTAGTGACTTCTTTTTGTCATTAAAATACTCAGCTACAAGTATAAAATGTTAAAACCAATGCTGTGTTACCATATATTTTCTTTATATTTTTTAGTACAAAAAAAGGCCAAATAAAATGTGGAAGCCTACAGAAGAAAGGGCTCTCATGAATTTTTTGAAAGAAAATACTGAATTTGAGGTGAGTCCATCCAAATAAATTTTGCAAACAAAAAACAAATAATTTTATATTTCAGAAACCAACGGCAAAGGTATTTTATGATCGTTTTCTTCATGACAGCGGTGTAAATGCTGACTGGAAGATGGTTCGCTCAAAAATGTTCAACATGCGAAAGACTTATAAAAAAACTAAGGAGTGGTTAAAAAACGAAGGAACAGCAATAACAGATAGCGAGGAACTAAAAAGTAAGTGTTTAACTACAATTTATAGGCCTAAGTGGATCCTCCTGGGATCGCCGGTACAATCTAACCTAACTTAACTACAATTTGAATTTTTTGTTACTTAAAAGTGACACTATTGATTATACACAAAGAATTACATCGTATATTCCTCAAAATGCGCTTTGAGAGCAATTAATACAAATTATACATTGTTCAGAGTTAATCTCATAATTAAAGATGTCAACATTTCTGTTTTAATGTTAGATATTGTTCTCAGATTTTACTCAACAACAAATATAATGATATTATTTCAGATGCCATACGTAACAAATTTCGATTTTATTACGACTTCGAAATAATTTTTGGGTCCAATTCAATTAATTTATGCCAAATTGCTAATACTGATTCAGAAACAAAAACTAATCAGGCGGCGACAAGTGAAGCATCCGTTACCATAGTCAAGAATGAGAACGAAGCATCAGAAATTTGTTATGACAAAATGCTAAGCGCAAGCAATGACAGAAGTATTTCTGTATCTGAAACCTTGTTAAGCGAGACAGAGAACCAACCTACTGAAGATGTTTTGGAATATAGTTCATCTAATTGCTGTAGCGGAGTTTGCTTACGGTTAACTGCACTCAATATGGTTCAAAATCGGGAGGACATTTTAACATTGAGCATGGAAAAAATGAGCTACGATTTAGTATTTAGAAAGAAAAAACTGCACTTGCTTTATAGACAGGCGGCACTACAAGAGGAGGAACTAAAACTTAAAGAAAGAGTTCTAAAAAGTCAAGAGCATTTAAAAATTTTGGAGTTGCAAAAAAGAGAAGAAATTGCAATGGCAGAACTTGAACTTAAATATAAGAATTTAAATTGAATTATTAGGGATATAAATTTTCACAAATTGCTGTAACGTTATAGTTATTATAGTTATTTAATGTTATAAATATAAAATTTAAAGTTATAAATTAAGAATTTATAGTTAAAATTTGTAAAAAATATAAAAGAAAGCTAATATAGCATTTTTTAAATACTTTGTAAGTGTCCTCTCTTAAATCAAATGCACTATATATTCCGTCAGGAAGATATGTTCATCTTCAAACTATACTTATGTGAATTCACCTTAATGACTTATCATAATTCAATGGAAAACTTGATACAGTGGATCACCAAGTGATCACATGTATCATTGAATAAAAGTGCATTGGGCATGAACTCACGTTTCATCAAGCAAGGAAGAAGAGTTGTAAATGAAACTGCTGAAACAGCTGATTTTGTTTAATTTGTTGTATGTAAAAGTCTTATTATGTTCAGACACACTTGAATTTCTCAAAAATCTTAATTTCATCTTCGTTTCAGTGAAATTAAGTTGTTTTTTCCATACAAAATTCAGTTCAAAGGTTAGAACGAAATTAAAGAAATTGACTTTAATTTCGTTTAAACGAAAGCTAATAAAAATAAGAAACGAAAATTTCAAATGCAACTATGCGTAAGATAAATTTCAAGCAAAAGATAAAGTTAAGACAACGAAAAAGTTATATTTTTTTTTAAATAAATATCAGTGATAATTGACTTGAATAAAACCGAGAAACTATTTTGAAAGTAGTGCAAATTTTTAAATTTGAATATAGAGAAAAAACTATAACTGTTATTAACTTTAAATAGATTGAAAAATAATAATTCACATACCAGAAATCCACTAAAGTAAAACTACTGAATACCATCTTTTATAGTTATAATAATCAACTTTTAAAATTTCCCAGATACAAATGGTATTTCGAACATGTAATTTTTAACATTCGATTTGTAAACAAAAAATATATGATTTCCTTAATTTGGGGCAGTATGAACACTTTCAAAATTAACTCAATTTCAGTTCTACGAAATTAAGGAAATTTGGCTGTCTGAACATAGTACAAGATAATACCAAGAAAAATTGGAAAAAAGAAATTTGAAATTATTTTTTTTTATATAATTTGTAATTTGTATTTAATATTTAGTTGTTTAATTACTATTATTTCAAACAGTTTTAATTTCACTATACTAAGAAACAGCTAAAGGTTTTTTCGAGAGAAGCATGCAACAGAATAATATTTAAAGAAATCGTTGGGCCCTATGCTCCACTTAGGAGTGAAGGACAGCAGTACGTAAGTAATGTTTTTCCGAGTATCAAATAAAAAATGATCAGACCTGATGCCTCGGTAATTCAGTAACGTGGTAATATCATAAAAACAAATATACAAAAATTTTAATTTAATCACATTGCAATGATGCTTATATACACCAAAAAAAATTGTTAATTTACAATAAATAACTTTTAATAATATTAAATTACAAAGCGTTTCGTTTTTTAGGTTAAAATTAATTTATAACAAAACAGAACTAAAAATTAAATCCAAAGGATTAAAAACTAAATAAAATAAAAATATCTAAATAATAATATATAATATTTTGTCAAATATAAAACGTATAAATTAAAACATTCAGAAGCAATACAGAAAGAGTTCAAAGAATACATACAAAAGAATAGAATTATTGTATTGTAAGTTTTTTACTATAAATATAGAAATTACTTTTTTAAAGAAACGTAATACAGAGATATTTATTTTCAATAAACTAAAATAAATTTTATTAAGTTTAAAAGAAATAAATTTATTAATTTTCAGTACTTTTTTCATCAACACTTTTCTTTAAATAATTTCCATTAATAAGCAACACTAGCAACAGCTGTTAAATATCAAAACAAATAAAAGTGCACTCTTTTTAACACTCATCGTGGTGAATAACACCTGAATAGTTCATTCTAGAAATATGTGGTGTAATTCTCACTCCAGCTTTTTCATTTGCATTTGCGGTGTTCTCTGTTTTGATTAGTCGACTTTTTTTTTTTACAGATTTTGTTGTCGCTAATATAGTCTAAAGAAATAAAATTAAGTTAAGATTGTAATTTAGACTTTTTTGCTGGAGATTTCAATATATTTAAGTTGGAATAGCAATTATGAAAAATAAAGAAATAATCAAAGAGCGAAAGCGTGGAATAAATGCAGCGAATAGGGAAAATATGAAAGTAAATTCTAAGAAACATTGCCAACTTCATATTGGAAATAGTGAGGTACATAAATGAAAATTATATATAAATGTGAAATTTGTAACTTAAGTAAAATGCTTTGTTTATTAAAAAAGTGTTTTATTAAAATTACTTATTAAATAATTTTTTAACTTAACTTTAATTGTTACTTTCCTATTTCCAAAACAAAAAGATAAGTAAAAATTAAATGTTATTTTGACAGAGTTAAAAAAAATTACTAGCCAGACTGTGCGTGTCTTCTACGAAAACCACTGTTCCAATCCCTGTCCCTGCCAGTCACAGCATGAGGTTGATTTATGACCATTTGCTGTAACAGACAAATGGGGAGTGGCCTCATTCTTTTTTAGCAGCCAGGTCAAGGAGTACTCAACCATTTTACTTAAAATGTAGAACCTCTGACTTGGTACAGAGAAGCAAATCACAAGTATATAGGTTAATATATGTTCTACGGCAAAGGGTCACGCTTTGTCTACCATGTGATATCTCTCTACTGAATTTTAGAAAAGACACCAGAACACCTGTTGTGTTTTTCCCCAGGCATGTCCACAACCAGACTTAAGATCAAATGGGTAATGTATTTTGATACAAATAATGCAATTAACTTTTTCTTGTAAATGGCTATTATTTATAATTCAACAACAATTTTGCAATTTGTTATAATAATTCTCAAGGGCAAACTTTCAAGGCTGAGGTGGAAGACATTTATCTTTCAAAATCAGTATTCAGTCATTGTATATTATGTGATGTTGCCAGTAGAGTTCGTACATTTGGCGATCTTCGGTTCAACACTTCAGAGTACCCGGAACAAATATATTAATTGTATAATAAACATGACAAATTGTATATATATAATATTTTATTTCGTGTTTTCACTTTCTCTAAATAATATAAAAAAAAATTTAAAAAACAAAAAATAAGAAACAATAAAATACATAGAAGAAAAACTTTGTTTCAAAGTTACTTATTTATTTATAAAGAGAATACATTTAAAAAAAAAAATAATTCCATTATTAAACAACGATGAGGAATGGCCGTCCCTAGTAATTTTTACTTTCTATTGGAGGTGTAGCTCCAAAATATGTTTTTTAATGTATTTAGAAATAAAAACTATATTATATGGACAGATGTAGTATTCGTGCTGATTAAGAAATTGGCCAAATATATTTTACTATAGTTAATAAATTATTTTATATTTTTAGAAATACAGATTGTGATGATCTAGAACAAAAAAATAATGTATTGTTTCTTTTACAGATCAACACAATGCAAGAAATGGATCACTCAATAAAAGCATGGACTCAGGCGGAAGAAACGTCGCTTATCTCTTTTCTAAAAGAAAATATCCACTTTGAGGTAAATTATATAAAATAATAATAATAATTTTAAAGTAATATGTAGTTTGGACCAGTTTTAACGTTGACATTGATAACTAGTGTATGTTTAGCTTTACTGGTCTTATTGTTTAGGAACCAAAAACAAGAATAATAAGTTCAAATTTTGTTTTTTTCATTCAACGTTTTACTGGTTATATGCCCGCATTTTCAGGGGTTGTAATTTATTTATTAAAACATATTTTTTATATTTATGTAAACAATAAGACCAATACAGCACAGTTATCGAAATCATATTAAAAATAATATTTCAACTTTTAGAAACCAACAGCTCAAGTATTTTATGAGAATTTTCTTCACAGTAGTGCAGTTCTTACTGATTGGAAGATGGTTCGATCAAAGGTGTTGCGCATGCAAACGACCTATAATAACACTAAAGATTGGTTAAGTACAGTAGGAGGTACTATGACAAATAACGATACAGTTGAAAGTAAGTTTTTTATTATACAATCTGCTATTTAAATTAATTATTCAATAATTAAGTTTTTTTTTATTAAAAATTCGGCATTTTAATTGGTTTATGGTCATCAATGGAATAAAAGTTTTTATATAAATTGTATGTAATTTTTATGTTTCAGATGCCATACGTAATATGTGCCCATTTTATTACGATTTTGATAAAATTTTTGGTTCAAATATTTTTAATTCATCTGCAATATTGGACAACAGTGAAATTGATAAGGATGATGGATGTTTTAACATAGTCAATACTGAAAATGAAGAAATTGAAAATATTAATGGTAATATTAAACTAAATCTGAACCATTACATATGTTTTTTTTTAAGTTTCAAACCTTGCCAAATTTTGCAGAAACTCCACCCATTAAAGATTTGGGTAGCAAAGTTTCAAATCCAATGTGCAGTGAAGTTTGCTTTCGTTTAGCTGTTTCCGAAGTTGTACAGAGTCAAGCAGAAATTTTGAAATTAAAAGAAGAGAAAATGGATGCCGAAGCTAATTTTAAAGAGAAACAAATAGAACTACTTCTAAGACAGGTTATAGTGAAAGAAAACCAATTAGATTTTAAGGAAAAGGAGCTACAAAGTCATGAACGTGTGAAAAAGTTGGAGTTGGAAATGTATGAACGAATAGCGATGAAAGAACTCGAACTCAAGTATAAGAATTAATAAGTATTTAATTAAGTTTTATTCAAAAAAATTTTTAAAATAAAAAAAATTTATAAACGATAAACAAACGATAAGTTCTATTACTTATTTAAGACGTACAATAACAACTTCATATGAATAAATAAATATTCATACATGATATAAAATATGAACAAACTTTTTCAAAATCGGAAACATATTTTATTTTTTTATTAAATCTGATTGTTAATAATCAGAGTAAACAATAGAGTAAACAAATTAAAAGACAAACCATTTTATATACAACCTGAACTTGATATATAAATTATATAGTCTTTTCTAATACTCAATTAACGATATTCTCCATTAAATAATGATATTTTATATTATATAATAAATAACGACTCAATTTTTTCCTAATATAAATATAGACCTCTGTCATTGATTCAATTTACACTATTATAAACGTAGCATGAACATGAACTTGAAAAACGGTTTTCGATAGATGAGAGAGGAAAGAGAGTGTGTGTGTGATGTTAGTTCATAAATTTCGAAAACGAAATTTGCTGTTTTTTTTTTTCAGTTTGACAATGTCATGTTTTGGTGTTTGTGGGTTTCAAGATTTTTATTTTGAAACGAATTTAGTCGTGTTTAGAGCAGCAGCCATTAAAAGTAATTCTTTATTTAGATCCATTGTTGAAACTCCGAAAACCTTTTAAGTAATTTTTATGCTGAATACTTTGAATTTCAGTGCTATGCACTACTACACACAAGCATTTAATACGTTTACCAAAAAAAAAAAATTCACGCTTCATGACAGTTCATGACAGTGTAAACTGAAGTGTCAGTTCATCTTGCGTTCATGATAACGTAAATAAGCCCATTAACTTAGGATTAATACACACACAACTCTTTACTACTTTTCGCATCAATATTTTTTTAAACAATTTTCTTTCATATGCCACACTTCTGTTGTCAAAAAATCAAAACAAACAAAATTATATTCCTTGCTACTCTTATCGTGGTGAATAAATTTTGAGTGGCTCGCTCTTAGCAGTTTGGTGACGTCGTTCTCAGTGTACAGTATATGTACTTATGATATTCTCTGTTTATGTTTATGTTATTGTTGTAATTGTGTTAACATAATAGCGGCCGCGGCAAAGAGTTAAAAGGAATTAAATTGGTTCAGATTTCTGATTTATACTTTTTGCATTACTTTTCAATTTGTATCAATAAAATTTAACATGAAAATTATAAAATGTAATTTAGAAAATGCAGAAAATGACAAAGAAATTAGACGCCAAAAAAATTTGGAGAAAGATAGAAGATATAGATTGAAAAATTTAGAAAAAATAAGGGAAGCGAAACGGGCAAGATATGCGGCAAATAAAGAAAAGGCAAAAGCCAAACGCGATGCAAATAAAGAAAAAACAAAAGCAAGATATGAATCAAAAAAAGAAATTATTGAAGAACGATCGCGAGCATGGTACGTTGCAAATAAGGAAGCTGTTAAAGAAAAATACCAAAAACAACGTCAGCTCCATACTGCGAGCAATGAGGTATATAAACAAAATATTAATAATTTAAATAAACATATTTAAGTTATCTTTAAAACAACATACATAGATATATATATGTTATTTAAATATACATACATATTCAGTTTATAAATAAGATCTCAGCTTTCAATATAAAAATAAAATTCAAACTATACCAGTGTCTTCAAGTTTATTACAATATACAAAAAATATAAATTACATTAAATAAAAATTAGATGTATTCAATACATATACATATGTCTGTATATAAAAATTGAATTTCCGTATTAATGGGTCAGCAAAAATCGAAGAGTAGTTCATAAATTGACTTGGGGTTTTAACACGATATTGCATTTTTATAACGAGTGTTTATATATACACCTATATATTAATGGGATCATCACGGGTACAGGAAATTCTAAATAAAATAAATTATTAAGATTAAATAAAAAATATAACTGAGAAATAACTCTACATATTATTAATTACAAATTTTAATATTTCCACATTACTACCTTAAAATGACATCCTCCCTTCCTTCACTCACTTGTTTCCAAGTTGGATTTAGATATATATCTTGTCTAACCTTCTGCATTCAAATGTCTGTTTCCCTTGATTTCTAGAATGGGGTTTCAGTTTTTAAATTTCACGGTCCAATAGCTGAAATTTGTCGATTTTGCATTTTTATAAGGTGATTTTAGGAATATTTCTACTCCTTTTTAAAAATATCAACTTAAACGATATGAATAACATCATTTCAACCAGAATCGTAGGTTAAATAGTGAAATACAAATTTATTGACTTCGTGGTGCACAAAAATGAAATAATTTTTCCAATGGAATTTCTTTATTCACTCAATGTTTGTAGACTACTGTCACACATTCTATTTGTCAAATAATATTTCTCTGAAATATCAATCAGCCAAAGTTATTCTATGGTATTTTATGGACAAGAAGTTAAGAAAATTCACATATAATGCAAATGACAAAAATTTATACTAGACCTTATAAAGGTGAAGACTTATTATTTATACAAATACAATGGATTCTGAAAAATATGTTTGACTTCAATTTTAAATACGTCTTACTTAAGCAATAAGTATTAATAAAATTCAAGGATAATTTCTCTTATCGAAAGCTATATGTCTTATGTCCTAGAACAAGTAACTTATTTCATCTTCATGGTTTTTATATTTAACTTTTCAAAAACATCGACCATTTATGTTGTTTCAATAAACCTACCTATATTCAATATATTATCTTATATACTTTCCTAATAATTAATATCAGACTGAGCCACAGTGATGCGTGGATGGGTTTAGCTAGTATATAATAAAAAAAAATGCAACAAATTCATCAACGGAAAATATTTATCAATCGATCTATAAAATTTGATAATGGTATCGTTAAGTTATGTATAAGTATATGTACATATGTATGTCGTCAAGTGTGTGGTGGAATTAGTGTTCTTATAAAAAATATAACAAATTTATTGTTGCACTCTCTTAAATCGACCTGTAAACCATTTCAATTTACTTAAAATGCAGTGGCTAGAATCTGACTCAACGCAATGTATTGTTGACTGCAACTGAATCTCAGTTATCAGAATTATTTTCAGTCATTTATTTACTTTAATTTGGAGACTAAGTCATGAAAATTTTAGAGTCATGGAATTGAAATTTGAAAGATTAACGGCTGTATTTTATCAAATACAACAAACTTTGAAAAGCATTCAATTTTTGCTTCCTCTAGCTTTAATTAATTATCTGATACCCGTCGCACTTACGTGGAAAGATAACTTGTCTCAATATCTTATAACTGTCAACAAAGCGTATTAAATACAAAATTACAGTAGATGTATATGTACCTATGATATATATGATACATATTTGATATGTATGTAAAATACCGTATTATATTTATTGCTAAATCGCACATTTAGGTGGAAATGGTAATTTAATAGATCACCGCCTTTGAGAATATTGCAAGGGCTATCTTGCTACCGGCTACTTTTAATAATTATAATAAAAACAACTGGTATAAATTTATGCACAACTTACTTGTCAAACAAACTGTGGGTTCAAATTCAATAAGGTCTGAATAGTTTAAATTTAATAAATTAATAAATTTAAACTATCATCTGATTATATTATTATGACATGTTCTATAAATTACAATTACAATTTAAGAACTTAGTCCATTCACATAAGCTTTCCAAATATTTCTTTAACGCGCTAATGTTCTGACCTCACTCAATGATTTGTTCGTTTTCCTGCTTATCGATCTTCTCCATGTACTTTTTAGCCGTCCACGATTCCTTCTACTCTGTGAATTCCATTCTAATCCTGAGTGTACAATTTCACTAACCGGTTTACGTAGGGTATGTCCTGGCCAGAAATATTTCCGCTTCATTATCTATAGTTGTTAGTTGTGCTCATAAGTTTGCAGCTCAAATCGCAGAACATTTCTATTATATTTCGTCTTTCCCCTTTGTGTGCGGAAAAGTTGGTCGCACAACAGAAAAATGAACAAAATAATGTGCGTAAATAACAATTACTCACCAGGCCGCCACACAATACGACAACATACGAGGAACGACATAAATCAATATATAAAATGCTTAGTATCTTATTACAAAATCACTTATTGTTTTTATATACAAAATATTATTATTTTGTATATTATTATAATACAATATTTATTTATTGTATTTTCATTTTTAAGTCAATGTACTCAAATGACCATATAAGAGTCACACTTATTCGACCTTAAAATAAAAACCGCACATCGAAAGTAACCCACTTACGAAATTTCTAAAACAAAGAAGCCGTTGCATTCCTAAGTAATGTTTAGGAAATGCAACGAACATTCAAGTGGAATTTTGTTTATGGGCAATAAATTATTTTTGGGTCACAATATTGATTATTATTAAATATTTCCTAAATGTTAAATTTTGAATATATAGAAATTGTACTAAAGAAATTTTAGTCAGAATAAATTTGTCACTTAAATTGTACACAACGTATCGTGTGTTATTTTATTTTCTACTTTTTTGCACTGAGTTAAGATCAATCCTTAACTCGTGTGGTCACGTTTGTAATATGAGAAATAAGATTTATGTAGTGAGGTGAGAATTGTATGAGAGTATTTTCTGTTCTATTCGAATATCAACTACGTGTATAACAATTCAACATGTTGACTTGCCGAAGCGGTTAGATGTGCGGCTAAAGTTTGCAGCTCATATCAACACACATTTCTTTCAAATTCGTCTCTCCCCTTTTAGCAGTTGCTCCAGCGAATAATAACCGCTTTGTGTGCGGAGTAGCTGACCGCACATTTATACGTTGTAAGTGTGTTTAATTTTGTTTGATCAAAAACTCTTGTGTTTGATGTTATGAGAATTATGTGAAAAGTTTAGTTTCTTCCATATTGATATAATATTAAACTTATATATAAATTATTAATTTAATTTGTTTAAATGTTATTTTGTTAATGAATTGTTAATATAATATTGCGAATATATTGTTGCCTAATATAATATAGTTATTATTAATAAAACATCTCATATATTTTAATTTAAGTGGTACATGTAAAAACAACATTATAGAAGGGCTGCACACCCTTCCATATACAACACGCGTCGCCCCTGGTTATAAACCAATAGTAGTTCATTACAATTCCTTGCAAACTAATCATTTATAAAATAAAGTAATATAATCAAATTGTAAGTTAATAACACAATTAAGATTGGGTTTTTTTTTTAGAAAAAACTAAGACAGAGAAGGAAAAATTGGACACCTGCGCAAGAAATAGCTCTTATTAATTTCCTAAAGGAAAATGTTGAATTTGAAGTTAGTTGTTTCAAATAAATTTTACAAATACAAAATAAATAATTATATTTTTTTAGAAACCAACAGCACAAGCATTTTATAAACGTTTTGTCCAAAATAGTGATCTCAATGGTGATTGGAAAATGGTCCGATTAAAAATGTATAACATGCGTAGAACTTATAAGAACACAAAAGAATGGTTAAAAACAATAGATACAACTATGACTAATGCGGACGAAATTAAATGTAAGTTTTTAACATTAAATAATTTTTGGATCTACCACTCCTACCTAATGCTACTGATATAGTAGCAGTGTAATTTGCCTATACAAGCCGTCATATCGCATAACTTTCGCATAGAGATTTCAGTCAAGTCAAAATTTCTGTTTTAATGACAATGATCTTACTCAGATTTTGAAAATTGTGTTTTATTATAGATGCCGTATGTAGCAAGTTTCGCTTTTATTATGAATTCGAAAAAATCTTTGGATCAAATACTTTAAATTTATTTCAATATGCTAAATTGAATTCGGAAACAATTAGTGATCAGACGTCAAATGAAGCATCCATTACTATAGACAAAACAGACAATGCAGCATTTAAAATTTATTATAACAAGATGCCAAGTAGAAGCCACGACAGAAGTTCTTTTGTATCTGAAACTCTATTAAGCCGCACAGGGAACGAACTAATAAAAAATATTCAATGCAATTTTTCGACTACTTGCTGTAGCGAAGCATGTTTACGCTCAGTTGTATCTGGAATGGCTCAATACCAAGCAGATATTTTTACTTTAGGAAAAGAAAAATTCAACTACGACGCAATAGTTAGAGAAAAACAAATACAATTGCTTAGTAGAAAGGTGTCAATACAAGAAAAAGAATTAGATCTTATGAAAGGAGATTTATCAAATCAAGAGCATTTAAAAATATTGGAGTTAGAGAAAAAAGAAGAGACCGCAATGATAGAACTTGAACTTAAATATAAAAATTAAAATTTATTTAAGATATTTAGTGGTATTATTATTAGTGATATCTATTTATGTATATTACTGTAAAATTATATATATGTATATAAGAATTCAAAAAATTTGTGATAATATAATAGAAAACAGTATATTGTTAACATATTTGTTGTCAGTCAGAAGTCACTGACTTTACAAACTTAATATTATATACCTGTTATTATATACCTCGGATAGCAATGTCCGGTAAAAATTTAGCAATTAGTGTTAGCAAAAAATTATTTAAAGTAGTGTATAGGGAAGAGATTAAAATAAAAGTTGCACTGAACAAAATAGATTGCCTTAACGATTTTTTTGTTGCAAACAAGTAGTGCATTATCTCCACCGACCACAATAATCCACCATAATCGTAGAAAATAAGGTAGAATAGGAAATTTCAGTAGATAATGTAGAGCCCCAAACAAAAATCAAAAATTGATTAACAAACTGAAAATGATTTGTCTAGATTCAGTTATTGAGAAATTTAGGATCACAATTTATAAATTGCTTCAAGCGAAACATTTACCAGCACCAATGTATAACGATAGACCGGTAAGCGGCTAAGTTAAAACCTCTTGACGAGGGGAAAACGGCAACAAAATTTCTTTTTTGCATAATTTTCCTCACTTTTTGAAAAGTACATGAAACTGCTTAGAAAATAGTAAAAATTATTTACATTTGAAAAACTTGGAAAGATATTGTAATATTCTACAGTAATACAATATTATAGATCTTATTATTCAAAACATAATTTTAAATGTGCGCCTAAACTGACAAACACACATATTAGACCTAATTCCTTTTAGCAAATGAACGTTAGTATTGCAGCACAAATTTTCAGTAACACAAATGCTTAGGGTATGAAAACTGTATAGTTCAGGCCATTTAATCGGTAATGCTACCACATTTAACAATGTAATAGAATTTGTTTATTTTTTTAATAACCTTTTTAATATATTTAATTCTAGTAACATTACTAGAATCAATTTTAAAGCAGGTTTCAATTGGTTCGTTTGAGCAAATTTAATTTCTTCAAAACGCACAGAGTTTACGTAAATCTCTGAAAATTGAAGATAATGAATTTCATAAAAAGTTTTCAAGTTTTATTGATCACAAAACTTTGCCAAGATTGCTTAGAGCATTTTTTTGGTAAAATTAGAAGAGAGAGTGGTAACTATAAAAAAATAACAACTTTTATGTTTTCGTGCCTCTATGAAAAAAAATAAGAGTTGTAATATGCTAACATTGTTAACGATAATTACGAACAGTTCCCTGACTTCGGCTGTTCCAATAGTAACTCCCCAATTACATGTAGCCATCCGCTTCGTTGCTAACAATCTTAGAAAGCCCTTTTCTTTCAACTTAAAATATTGATAAACTTGTTTTGGATAATTTTTGCAAGAAGTAGAATATAATAAACATCAGAACCCATACCTTCATAATTGTCATTTCAATATAAATGTATACCTCAAAATATTTTTAAATCATAATGCTTTCTCTTATGTATGTGGATCCCTTTTTTCAAAAATGTGAATTAACGGTAATTGTCTATCATTTTTCCATATAATAACAACCTTTCAATGATATATTCATCATAGAAAAGTAATTTAAAATTGCCATTTAGTTCTACCACCTCCTCCTTTTGTTATACACATAAAGAAATATAGAATCACAATTTTGCCATTCTTTAAAAAATTATTTAATCGAGATAATAAAGTTTAAACAATAAACAATTATTTTAAGCTTTTATAAGAAGCATAAGAATGCTCATACTCTTTAAATGATTTGGCTTTATTAGGATAAAACATGTTTTAATTTTATAATTTTAATTATATATTCTATATTTAATTAAATATTTCGTTATTATTACTTATGTTATATAAAACATGTCCATAATTGTAAATATTGTTATAGTATTAAGTTAATGTAAAATTGTATGTATATAAAATTGTATACAGCCTCAATAAACTATACTTGGCATATAAATTTTTACGATTTTCTACATAGAAAAAATTTGTTGTGCAAAAAGATATATATATTATTATTAATAAAGCTTGTTTGACAACCTCGGGGACCTCAAGATTGAACCGATCAAAAAATACATAAAGGATAGCACCCTGAAATTATTTGCGAAAACTGACAGATTTTCTAACACCGCGTTATCGAATCTCAGAATGGTTACAGGCTCCTCGGATAGTTATGCAAATCTGAGCTCAATTATTGCTTCATCTGATGAAGTGATAAACAATAATCCAGCCAAGGCGTAAATACCTCGAGTTAATATTCGAGTTAATATAATTTTCCTTTTATAAAGTAAAAGGAAAATTCTTTCTATGCGAAAAGAGAAATTTTAATGCTAACATAATTGGTGTTAAAACCAATAAACTCTACGAAAATTGTGTTAGGAAGAAAAAACATTTAAACACCGTGTTATTATCACCACGAAGATGATTTATATGTTAACGGTTTTTCTGTATTAAGGTTACTACAATTTGTAAGTAACTAGATATGTGAATTTTAAATAAAAAATGACACACATATCTACTACCGATTATTGCATAAAGTGCCCAAACAAAATATATACAAAAATATATTTTTATACATGATACAAGAAAATAAAGAATTTTATAATATTTATATTCCTCTCTTTACAATAGAATAACAATAAATTAATAATTTTATTCTCTCATCTGTAAATTAATATAAATAAAAACGTATAACCAACAATTAACCACTGATGGGTTTATTTGTTTAAACTTAATTTATTTATATATTATGTAGAATAATATTTGCTTCCTATCATATATAAAATTTTCGAACAAATTAAACAAATAAAGTTAATCAAACAATTATAGATTAGTTAAAATTTAAATATTATTTTTTAACAAAACTCCAGAAAAATGTGCGAACATTGGGCTATGAGCTTTAAATTTACGCAGGACACGAGTTCAATTCCTGGTACTTGCAGTCTCCAAAAATTATTTACGAATAATTAAATACAAGAATTATTTTCAAAACCACTGAAGATGAGTATTTGGTAATACTCGAAACAGCTGGTATGATCAGCCGAAAATTCAATTAATTAAAATAATATAAAAACAAATTTTTGTTGTTGTAATTCACTACTTTTCAAAAAACCTGTTTATTAATATTATTTTAATACATTCAATAAAACATTAAAAATTTTTAAATTGCACCTTAATGGAAAAATGTATATATAATAAGCATAAGTATTGTCTTAAAAAAAGAAGCAAAAAAAAAATCGGACTTCTACTTACCTTAAATGAGTTCCTTTATGAGTGCGTGTGTGTGTAATAGCATATAAAACGCAGCAAATATTACTCCACCTAAATAATAACTTAATTTTTATTTTTTCCACATATGTATGTATATCATAATTTAAACCACCAAAAAATCTATGTCTAAATAATTTAGTTATTTACTAATATTAAAGTAATTGTTAATAATGGTAATTACTATAAATTTTGCAGTAATACAAAAAAACTATTTTATTTATGCTTCTTTAATAAGGCCAAACCAAGTATTTCAAACATAGTTAAAGTTTGCGTGAACCACAATAAAAAAATGACATAAAAATTGTATTCAGGATAAACGCGATTGATTGAATGAAAATCAACTACATAATACAAAAGTAATGCATATCAATTAATACAAATGTATATAAAATTATTTCAAATTATAACGCAGAATTAATTTCTCTTATTGCAACGTAGTATAACACAAATATGTAATAACGGACTTTTCCAATGAAATATAATACAATAATGTGTTTATTATTACATACGCAAAAAATTTTTCGAATTTATTATATCAAATATTAGTATCTTTTTATTTGTAATTATAAAAACATCATATAAAATATTTTATGCTAAAAATTTGTACATGTTTTAAATATATTGCAAAGTTTCAAATATGAAAAAATGACACCTGATCATCATATATACAAAACTGTTAAAAAAAGGGTTGCCTTTTACCTAATTAATACTAAACTTAAATAAGGAAAAATAATAGGAGTATTATTTAAAAAAAGCATTGAAAAACTAATCCATCAAATTTAGTGGTTTAATAATACCATATTTACATTACTAGCTTTAGTGAACGAAGTTGATTTCAACTTTAGCAAAGGGTTTTCATTTTGACAGTTGTTGTTTTTATTATCTTTTGTTTACATTTGTTTACATTTTAATACTTGTGAATAATGCGTTCGTTTATTATATATTTTGATGAAAATTATGGATAAAAATATAATTAAATTGCTCTGCAGTGAATTTGCACAACAAAATAAAATTCTCAATAATAGATTAAATTACATACGAATAAAGCGTCGTAAAATAATTGCCAAAATATTGCAATTAAGAGTGGCAAATAAATGCAGAAGTTCAAGCAGTGTTTGAATACAATTAAGATTTTATGAAATACTTTTTATGAATATGTTAATATAACTATCAAATATTTTTACAGGAGAGATAGTTTTGGGAACTTGATGATCCCAGTAACAGTGCAAATTTTTTCAAGAAAAGCTTTCGTATGAATCCCCAATGCTTTGATATTATATGCAACAAAATTGGAGTTATATATGATACATTAGGGTGCCATTAATTTTCGAAAGTCGAAAAATTGCTCGCGGCACCCCCCAGATCGGTTCATTTTACTAAAAAAATAATCTGTGTAAAATTTTAGTTCAATGGGATAAGTGGAAATGGTGCCCCAAAAGCCTCAAAGATAGAAAAATAACTATTTTTTCCATAAAATTCATCTTTGATTGCTTATATCTCCGACATATTTAATTTTACATAAAAACTGTCTTCCTAAAAGTTATAGATCTATTAAAAATAAACAATTTACTCATACAAAGTTTTTCTGTATTTCTAATAGTTATTGAATAAAACAAAAAATAAGTTGAAGTCACCCGATTGCTAGCTTTGAAAGTACTATGAATGTAATTGTCCGCTTCAGCTTTACAAAAAATTTGATATTTCTAAAAAATTTAAAATAAATTCAATATTTCCAAAATTTAATCCTTCTAATAATAAAAAAGTACTAATTCTAGGTTTGTCCGACATAATTTTTATTATTTTAGTTAAAGTTGCTGGAGCAAAGTATCCTTATTAACTTCAGTTATTTTTGCGCGATCTATTGATACTCTCCTGACTTCCTTGTCATCACTATCTATATTCAAATTTGAAACCATCTTTTTCTTTGTCTCAGGTGATATATTTAAATCCAAAAAAGCAAAATGAACAAGCTTTGAGCTTAAATACCAAATACAATTTTTTGATATTGACTGAGAATAGAAAGAAGATTAAAATCTTGAAAATGAGCTTTGACTGATGACAAAGCATTAAACCATACTTCAACATACACTTTAGTAATAAATATACATATATGGAAAAGAGCATTTTCTTCTTCTGTAGATAATTTGAACTCTTTCCTAAATAAAAATATTTTTAATACATGCATGACTTTCACTATCCATCTTGCATGATGTATAGCTCCAGGAGGTCGATACTTTATGGTTCGGTACTTTATGGTACAGTTCGGCTTTTCTCGTAAAAACATTAATGCAAGTTCCAGAAGTTCCTTATAATCATCTCTTGGTTGGTTATCCTTACGAATCTTATAAAGGAAACTTGTAATTCGTAACACATCATCCATATTTAACGATTTTCTTACTTTTTCATTTTCTAAGCCGACTGTAAACTTATCAACGTTTATTTTCGGCCAAAACTTCTGAAATCGTTGAAATAGTTCAACATTTGGGCTTTGAGACTTTACACTTTTTAATGTAATCACTTTGAATTAAAATTCACTTCGCATTCTAATGAATAATACAGAAACTCACTTATGTTTATATCTATAGTGTTATCTATACAAGTATTGGACTTATTTTGTAGCAAATTTAGTAGACAATTCATTCATTGAACTTACCTAAATTTAATAGGGAGATTTCAGCTTGTATTTGTATGAGTAAATTGTTTATTTTTAATAGATCTATAACTTTTAGGAAGACAGTTTTTATGTAAAATTAAATATGTCGGATTAATTTTAAGAAAGATGAATTTTATGGAAAAAATCGTTATTTTCCAATCTTTGAGGCTCTTGGGGCACCATTTCCACTTATCCAATTGAACTAAAATTTTACACAGATTATTTTTTTAGTAAAATGAACCGATCTGGGGGGTGCCGTCAACCGATTTTACGAAAAAAAAATTGCCCATATACCTTAATGGCACCCTAATGATACATATTCAAAAGAAATATGAGACCAAAAACTACAGATTACAACCACAGCACAAGGACCTATCCAATGACAACAACACACAAGCAGAAGAAATAAGAAGAGAAATAGCTGATTGTTTTGATTCTTTTTTATTTTCTTACTAATATTTACATTATTTGTATGAACTAACAATAGTTACAAAAACTATATTATAAATTAGTTAATATATACACAAAATTTTAATTATTTGCATGCATTTATTACACTTATAACTAAACTACAAAATATCAATTTTTTCTTTCTTTATAACTTTTATTCCATGCCGATAAGAATATAGAATTTTTGTTTTAGGTATAAATTCATTTTGCTGTTAGGGGGATTGCCTTTTTTCAAATCAAATGTTTAATTTTTTCTTTCTTTTGCTGCTTCTTTTTACAAATGTCGCTGGCAGCGTGGTTTAAAATAAATATAATAACTTCCAACTTAACTCTTAACTACTCTTAACAATTATATTGAGTTTCGACAATGAAATATGTATATCAAGCTCTTCTACAGATGACGATAATATTGAGCACTATAGCTCTTAATTACTGGATACAATTCTAAGCGCAACGAAAAGTGATGATGAAGGTTCGGTGGATGTAATTGTTCATCAGCCTTCCAATAATAAAATAGTTGCTCTCACCAGATTTTACATAAAGCTGTTCTATTAAAATATGACTGAAGACCGTACTCTGACATTTTATCGCTCTTAGTTTGCAGTTTACTTCTGTTTTAGTTGAGTTTTACTATGAGAAGCTCGTGGCAAACTCCTATCTTTACTTCCAAAATTGTTTGTTTTACATAGAGTTTTATAATAGTGTTTTTTCGTCATAAATTGCGTCACATTCGACATTAACGCTTATTTTTGTAGTTTAGCATGCTAAATAAAAATCGGAGACGCTTAATATCTGACATTTACAATTAGAGAATCTTATTAGAATATTAAAGATTATGTATTTTGTATGAGAAATAGCAATTATTGTAATACATTTATTGTGTTAAATACGATATTTTAAACGAATTGGAATATATTTTAATACCATTGCAAATAAACTTTCTACTACTTTTTATAGCAACACATTTCTCATAGCAAATAAAAAAACTGTGGTAAATAAATTATGACTTTCTCCCTCTCAATACGCAGTATACTTCAAGCCGGTATTTCCATAGATTTGTAGTAAATTTTTTGTCGGCAGAAAGTTTATTTCCGTGCTCAGTTAATTCTGTGTGATTGGTAAGGGATTTTTTTACTAAAGATATATAATAGTATTATATAAGCAGTTCTTTAAATTATTATTTGATACTTAAAGTTTTGTTTACCAAAAAAGCATTCATGTGCTAATTTTTCTGTATAATCAAAATAATAAGAAAAGCTTTTTATAAATAAGAAGAAAAAACACTCAATAAAATGAA